TGAAAAGTCACTTCAGAAAATTTAGAGTGTTTAGAATTGTAAATCTTTTTATTATGAGCTTTAAACTTATCAAGGTTTCTGCAGGTAGATTTCGAATGGGCAGTGAAACTTCATCGTTTCCCTTTAGATTTGATTGGAGTTTGGCCCAAAAACGTGCAAAATTACAAGCAAAAATTAATGTGCAATTTTCGAACATTGGTGGTTTTTCTGGGAGTAATGGTTTGCCTCATTATTCCTGCTATACATTCCCTGCTAAAAATTTTTGGAGATGTTTTGCTAATGTTAGATAACTTACAATTTACTTTACCGGTCATAAGCTGCCAATCAGAATCATGATTTTTTGGTGGAAAAAAGAAGGTAAATATTATTAGTTGTAATTACATATAAACTATAAAAACAAAAAAAATAATATATATATACAAGATGTATTAAATAATACTAATCTCTTTTCTCGGCAATGGTTGTTGAAATTGGAGAAAAAAAATGTTTTTTATTAAAACCTCTCTCTCTCTCTCTCTTCAACTATCTAACGGCGGCATTTCGCTTTTTCGGAAACTGCCAGAAGTAAAGTAAACCTGGATCAAGTCTGAAATTATAAATGAGAATATGAGTCAAGGGTATTATTGGATAGATCTTTTGAAAGTAAATTTTTATTGAACTTTTTTCATATCATTTACGTTTTTAGAGAAAATAAAGAAATATTCAATTTATGAGTCATCTATTTATCTAGATATAAAAAATGATCGGGAGATTAAATTAATTTATATGATCAAACTTTATGTAATAAATGGAATGATGGTATTCGTGTCTTTAGGAATAAAATGAAAAGTGAGAAGAAATAGCAAATTTTTAAATTTTTTACCGAAAAATTGTTCTAATTTTTTTTGTGCTCTTCATTGAAATCACATATAGAATTGAAATTAATATAATTATAATTTATCAACGCTATAAAATATGCATAAGATTGTTTACTTTTTAAGCTATTGTACCGATTATGAATATGATGGAGAAGGATTGGATAAAGCCAATGAATGATCAAGAGAGACGTTTAATGATCCGAAAGGCGAAAAGTGCACGCACAATTATTATTTTTTCCTATTGCATAATGGGTATACAGTGCTGCTTTCTCCTCATACCGCCTGCTTTAGGAATGTCAATGAGATTGACGCCCAACATTACTGATCCAGGAAAACCAATGATTTTACAAAGCTATTATATTTATGACATAACAAAAAGGCCGCAATATGAAGTGACCTTTATAAGTCAAGCCATCTATGCAGTTTTTGGCCTGATGATCTATATTGGAATAGACAATTTTCTCAGTCTTTTGATTTTTCATGTATCTGGTCAATTAGAAATTATAAAGATTCGTTTAATATGTTTGAATAAATACATAAATTATCACGAAATGCTAAGATACTGCATCGACAAGCATATCCGTTTACTTAGGTTTGTTATTTATAAGAAAATACGAACAAATATGTATAATCAGTTCGAAATATATAATCAAATATATTTATCATACAAAATGTCTTTCATAGAGCTATCGATGTTATTGAAGATACTTATAATCTAATACTCCTCACCTTGTTTATATATTTTGCAGTACTATTTGCTTTCTATGCATATCGGATAATTAGTGTAAGTATCGAAATTCTTAAAGAATAAAATTTGATTATTAATTTTTAACATTAAAAAATTAATGCGTATAATGTCTGTCACTGAACTGTCACTATATTTACAAGATATTCATAAACTTCCAAATTTCTAAAATAATGTTGATTATAAAAAATTAAGACTTTGTACACATTTTACAAATTAATTAGGTATTCGACGAAGGAAATCGTTTACCAGTTATACGCTTGCTATTTTTCATAGCAACAATTTTAAATTTATTTGGACACATGTGTCTGTATTGCGCTCTTGGCGAGATGTTGGTGGCTCAGGTTAGTTACACATATATAATGTATATTAGATTGGTCAGAAAGTCTTTTCATATTTTCAATTGTGACACAATACAAATATACGAAGACTTTCTGACCAATCTAATACTTTTTTATGTTATAAAAATTATTTAAATTTAATATCGCATAATTAATTTTATAGATTATTATAAAATAATATTTATTTTTTATATTTTCAAGTGCAATAATGTATATTATGCTGCATATAGTAATAAATGGTACACTATGAATCCAAGGATTGCAAACGATCAGTTGATCTTAATGACAAGAGGCTCTAAATCGATTTATCTCACCGTTGGAAAAATATCTCCTGTTACAATGGCCACATTTTGCGGTGTAAGATTTTAATATTTAATTAGAAATATCATAATAAAATGTTTGGTACTACCAAACTTTTATTAAAGTTTATTGTGTATTATTTATATTATGTTTCAATATATAAAATTTTAATTTTTTATTTGATGTATATACATATACATATATCTGAAACTTCGTAATTACATTTATATTAATAATACTAAGTTTATGTTGTTAACAATCTTATCATTATAAAATTTAATTTTCAGTTAGTAAAAACGTCCATGGGTTACCTATCTTTCTTGCATACAACAAGATGATAAAAAAAAAAATTTCCATTGTGCAATATGCAATTTGTAATAAAAAAATTAGTTTATTATACCGATATTAATATGTCATATGCAAATAAATATATTTTAATGCATTATTCAAATAGAATAAGCTAAGACTTCTCTTAAGAAATTGAACTAGATCGCTAACAATAAGTAAAAAACATATATAATAATGAAGAAACGATTTCAACAATTAAGGCTGAATCTGATGCCTAATATTTATATGTTAAATACATTTTTTAATTATTTAAATGCTACGCCGATTATGTTGCAACGCAATTAAAACTGCAGCTGGAATAAAATAAGATCATATTAAATTGATCTTCAATTTAATAATACCTAATAATTCTTATAAACATTAAAACACTGCACAGAACTTTAATTAATTAAATTTAATTTTAACAATTTTAATACACTTTTATATTTTGCAATTATCTTAAAGAACTTAATATAAGAGCAAAAAATTGTTAAAATTAAAAAAAATAAAAACCATAAAAGCGATGCACAAAATTCTATATAGTCCATTACTATAAGTAACAGTTATAGACAACAGAGAATTAGAAGTGAAATGGGAATATAACTGATG